AAAATTTAGTAAGGCTTTCGTCTCGGGATTGTCGTCTCTCTCAAGACGACAATTCATATCTCCAAGCAGGTAGATAGGCACATTAAACGACGAAGCATAAATAAAGGTTTCAATTAAGTCAGAGTCAAAACATGACAGTGGAGTATTTGGTGGTCTATACGCGGTACAAACGATAAACGATCTTGTGTTCTTGACCTGGATTTTAAGCCACAGTTGCTGGAAACCAGATGGTGCGGTAAATGATATATCACTCAAGTACTCGGCTTTAAAATTTCGCGAAACATAGGCACAGACGCCGCCGCCTCTGCTATTCTGACGATCAAGACGATGGATGACATAACCAGGGATTTCGATTTCCAAATCTTGAACCGTGCCGTTGAGCCATGTTTCGGACACAGTAAATATATCGAACCTGTTGGCCAACACTGTTTCTTTTACAAGGACGTAATGATCTCGGCATTTGAGAGAGCGAACATTTAGGTGTGCTATGCTCACATTGCCATTTGTTTTGCCGACGCCATTTGTAGAATAATTCAGTGCGGGCCCAGGGTTGGTTTCCACATCGTGAAGCAGTTGTAAAATAGGTCTGAAAGCCGAGGTCGAATTATCGTAGTAAGCCGTGGTCGCCTTTGATCTTTTAACCCGTGTTAAGACATTCATAACAGTCTTCCACGCTGTGACTCGTGGCCTTCGGTGGATGAATGTCCAGCTTTCCACTTTCAGTCGACAGGATGGCATAACACATAATTTACGGTGCTGAAATTCGGTTATTAGGTCATGCCTGTTATCCTGGAAGAGGCAGATGATATATAACAGAAGAAAAAGAAACAGAAGCCAAGAGCTCGTGACAAAGCGTCCGTCCGCCATCTTGAATGTTTTCGGTCGGGCAAATTCATTCGTTGCTTCCGCATGAATGAGTTAAAAATAGATTCAAACAGTGGAAGCATTGTTGTTTGTGTTTGCGGGAAACCACCTCGAAATTAGAACGGTACACTTCAGAACTCGCTGGCTCTATCGTTCTTGCACATTAGCATATAAGAATCGGGGTTTGTGAAATCATTCTAATTCTGTCAAATATTCAGAAATATGAAATACTAATTAAACAATACTTGCGTTCGATCCTGAACGTAAGTGGAAATATCAAACCATTTAATACATTTAGAAAAACAGAAAAAGAAATGTAATTGATAAGACAACAGCAGTGGCAAATTATAATCCCTCTTTAATGTATTGTTCACTTTACGAACAAGATTTGTTTGATCGGACGCGCAAATGCGACGGCATCGGTCGCAATTTCGAGCCCTAATAAAACGCACTGGTTTACTGTTCGCAGTTGATAGATATAAAACACCTGAAAAGGGTTTAAAAACTTACAGAAAGTAGTGAGACATTTTCTAGTATACACATCAACAGGAATAAACCATGCAATCGGAAGGAATGAATGTGCGATCCGCACGACTGAGTTCAACTGAATTTGAGAAGCTCTGTTCCTGTTTCACTGCTCTAAAAAGATATGAGAACAAACATGAGAAAGCTTCGATACTTACTAGTTCCAGCCTGAAATACTGTGGATTGAGACACAAATTTCTTCTCTTTCTTGTTACAAAGTCGCACTGTCCTCGCACTGCACGTTGCCAAGGTACTTTGACAGTTAGTTCCGGTTTGCCCAGACGGCGTCCCAGACGGCTCCCGCTAATTTCGAGCCTTCAAGGACCAGTCTGTCAGCGGTTGGTAGTTACGTGGTGTATCGTGGTGTATGGAGTCTCGTGAGTCTCGAGAGACTCATGCGGGGAGGCGCTTGGAAGGACGGCGCTAAATAAATCATTGCGGTGTAGAATTTATGTTTAATGCTATATCCTTATTCACATATCTTGTCCTTTATTATTAAAACTAAACTTAGACTCAGAGGATAGTGGAAACAAGCGCTAATTTACAGTTACCACTTTAAAGGTACTTGATCGGCTGTCGGCTGGGGCACATCACATTTTTGCTTTAATTTTTGTTTTCGAGCCTCACAAAAAATGACTCTTAAGACAAAACAAAGTATGGTAGATGCAACAAAATACCTATAATTGCTCCTGTGTAGGTTCTGGTTTACAAAGTTACCTATGTTTTTTTTATATATTACATCGTACCTAGCCTGTTGCAGGGGTTCGTTTTAGCTCAACCGTTTAACAAGTGGCGAGGACTGAAAAGAAGGTTCGGGAGGCGCAATATCTGGAACTGGTTTCCCGCGCTGCTTTACCTTTCTATTTTTTCTCTCGCCTTTTCTTTGCGCTTCTTCCCAAATAACAAAACACCTGGAACAGGCTTCATCAGTATAGTAGAGTGCGAACCTCTCTTTTAAGCGGCCACTCTCTCTCTATTAAGCCACCTCTTAATAGAGATGGCCGTTTAATAGAGGTTCACCCGAAAACAACGCTGGGCGTGGTCCAGTTTCAGTTTATCAGGTATAAGTATAAACAAATGCAAGTGGAGAAAAAGTAGAACAATGATGATTATAATGCGGTCGATGACGTTACCAAAAGCCATAGAAACAGACCCAATGTGTCTGTCAACTCAACACTGGTTCGTGTGCTGTACAAACAATTAAATACGGCTGAAAATGTGTTTTACACATTCCACATTGTCATTCTTTTACCTTCAGCTGGTTAAAAACGTCCAACTTTAAATCATCCTGGCCTTTTAATAGAGGTATAAAACAAAACAAAAAAGTCACCCTTGGGACGACAAGAAGCTGGCCGCGGCCACTTAAAAGAGGTGGCCGTTGAACAGAGGTTTTTATTACAGTGTATAGCTGACAACTTTTCCGGGACTTAGGCCGCTGGCAGCTAAATAAAGGTTTGCCGCTTTAAAGGGAGCCACTTAATAGAGTTTTGACTGTATTTTATAAATTTAGCATGTTTTTATTTGATGTTATTTACTTACCACGTTCACGTTTCAACGAGTCTCGAACTTATGAGTGTAATGTGGATAAAAACTACTACTACTACTACTACTACTACTACTACTACTACTACTACTACTACTACTACTACTACCACTACTACCCACAGTTTTTACGTTTTTAAGATCTTCCTTTCGGGTTACAGAAAGGAAAGATTGATAGATTCGTTTAAGAAAGTTAGGGTGGACTGCGTGACCGGGGAGTTCAAAGCTGATTAGATTCACGTGCGAGTCAAGGCCTGCTACGAAGACAGGTGTCGTTTACCCAAAAGGTGCAACACTTACTACTTATCATCTTTCTGACATCATCTTAGACAGAAAGTAATGAGCGTGTAAGCATAACGTTGCTCGGAATAAACTTCACTCCCTAGCTAGGATGGTTAAAAACCCTCAAATTTGGACAAAAAGTTCATTGGGATCAACGTTATCGCAGAAAACATGTCTTCTATTTATTTATGCAGGACCTCAACGAACAGCACCTTATAGTGAATTGGGCTCGCTGTTTAAATTTTTTAATTATTTTTATTATATTTAATAATAATAATATTCATTATTATTATTATTATTATTATTATTATTATTATTATTATTATTATTATTATGAATTCTACATTAGGCTGCTCAGTGGCAGTTTGTTTTCTCTCAAAATTCCCCATGGAAAACCTTTAGCCTAGGGATTGGGCCGAGACACGGGCGCGGAACTCACAAAAAGAAGCATTCTCGTCCCCATAGCCCTTTTTGCTTCTCTTAGCCGGCGGAAAAGGGCTGTGGGGACGAGAATGGAAAAGAATAGGTTTTCTTCTCATCTAGCCCCGACCCCTTCTCGTCCATACTTCCCCTTTGTGTTCTCGTCGAATTCAAGACAGGCCGGTTACGAGTAGTCTCCTAGATTTGACTGAACGGCCACGGTATATTTGTCTATTGTTGTTAATTGTGATGTTTCCGATGCAGATAAATTAGCACAATAAGGCAGAAAAGCTTTTCTTCTCATCCGATATTTTTTTTTTTCTGACTTTGCAAATCTCAACCTCTATAGAACTAATACTTGGTCACTGAAACTATTTACTTCGTTTCTTTACTTCTTTGGTTCTACGATAATCTTTATGTGTCTTTGCAGTAGTAAGTAAAGAGTAAAGTCTGCATACGGGCCGGATGGCCCACCAGACCGGAGCTTATCCCGGTTTCTGTAGCATGAAGCAACTAGGAGTGTTTCTACTCCCCCCTGGATGAGCTTGGATGTGATGCTAGTCCATTGCAGGGTTACCCCCAGCATTAAGTTCGTCGGTACCCGTTTATACACCTGGGTAGAGAGAGGCACTGTGAGAGTAAAGTGTCTTGCCCAAGAACACAACGCAATGTCCCAGGCCAGGGCTCGAACCCAGACCGCTCGATCCGGTGACGAGCGCACCAACCATGAGGCCACCGCGCCACCTCTTTACAGTAACATTAGACGAATCCGATGACTTGGCCACGTGTTGGAGATGGATCAGGTTCGTATCGAGAAGGTTGCACCGCGATGGACACCACCTGGTAAAAGGAAACCTGGTCGGCCAAAACCAACCGGGCACCAAATTTTCATTGCCGAGCTCAGTGAGTTAGGCCTCACCTAGGGGCGAGGTAGAACATGCTACACAAAATAGAGCTAAATGGCAAGAAATCGTTGTTGACTTGTGTCCCACAGGAAACGAATCAATTAATCAATCAATCGACCAACAAATCAATCAATCAATCAATCAATCAATCAATCAATCAATCAATCAATCATTTATTTTAACATGTTTCGATCGCCGAGGAACTAAGAACTCGTTCAAAATACGAAGACGATTTAAAGTAAGTAAGTAAATTTGTGGTGACGTTAAGTATTCTTCGAACGGCAGTTGGATGAATAGGACAATTGGGAAACTACCTTTGGATATCAGAGGCCACCATTGTTACGTTGTTTAATTAACAGTTTATCCTACTCTATTATGTTTCTTCTTCTTAATTTTCTTCAAGTTTTTATCGTGCATAAATTTAAAGATAAGGTAATGCCAGGGCAAACTTGGCATATTCAACTTGCGTTATGCCATTGCTCAGTCACAAATGACGAGTCGCGTTAGTGGCGCAAACTTGTGTTTCCTACATCTCTATAACAGGAGGAAGAAAGCAAGGCTTCACTGGTAGCAATGGAATACGGTTTTGGTAAACTGCACTGCGTCGAGCGATCTTTTGTTGCAGAACGTCCACGGAAAGTGACCACATGCAGTGAAACACCGATCTCATTGGTCGAGTTTACATTTCTACTTAAGAAAACCATTGCATTTCCTTCCTCATAGCGGTGCCGGTCTCGATGTTCTTTTTACTTCAAATCCTGTAATAATTTAAAATGACACTGATTTCCTACGAAAAGAACCCGTTCGTTTGATCAATTCTTCCTTCATCTTCGTCAGAGAGGACGGTGGATTTCTCTTGTTGCTAGTACTGTTCTTGTCATTTCTTAAATACTGCTTTATAGAACCGTACAACATGTCTGAGACTTCTTTGTAGCCATCGCTTGAAGAAACGGAAATTTCATAAAAAGGGCATTCTAGTTCTTGCGATAAGTCACTGCCCTCCGTTTCATCAACTTCTCGAAAGTGTTCCAAGTCTTTCTTTGTCCCAATGAGAATTATCATCACTGAGTTTCCGTTAGTTTTCCGCTCACGGATATATTTCCCAATGCGGGTAGCTTCGTCGAAACTTAAGCGGTCAGTGATTGAGTATAGGACGAGAAAGATGTCCCCGCGAGCCAAGCAACTGTCTAGCTTCTCTTCTGAATTCTGAAAAGAAGAAAAACTAATCAAATTTCAATAAAACGATCAGATATAAGTTTTATAAGCTTTGTGGGGCTCTGAAAAATTTTAGTAGTATTCAACGAAATTTTTACCTGATCGCGATGTTTAAATTTGGAAAAATATTTATACTCTTCGTAATATGCACACAGAAGGAATTCTGAGTCTGCACCTAATGGTCAAAGCAATGCTTTATCACAGTTTTAATTAATTAATAAAGAAAAAGGTTACTTAACGTTGAGTGAATGTTTACAGCAGCATAATTTAAAATTATGCTGCTGTAAACATTCATTCAACCTTAAGTAAGCTTTTCTTTGTATCACGTTTCTGATCAGAATATTTGCGGGGTAGTTGCGACAAACAGAGGCAATTCACACGGGAGCATTTTTAGTAAAAACGCTCGTCCAGGCTCAGGCTTTCTTTACAGTTCTCAGAGAAAGTTTCCTGGAAACAGTTTTCATGAAAACTTTAAGACATACTGACCTCCCCGGCAGTATCTATTAAATCAACGTAGATGTACTCGCTGTCGACTTCCATATGATGTCTCCACGTAGATTCTGTGTTGAACGTAAAGTTATGTTAGCTACCAACTAGTGCATAAACGATTTGGAAAGAATATCTGTATCTTTTTACTACCAAAGTCGCAATTCTTCTGACTTGACTATCTCCCTAGATGGATTTCATAATCCTTGGAGGACTTTTCTCCTTTTTTGGCTCTAATTTGAGGCATCTTACCAGAATTAATCTTCCTTAGCTTTTAGAGATGAAGTAGGATATTTTAACCACAGATTAGAAACAAAGTAACAAGTTCTATATTGTTTCTAAAGGAAAACATCCCAGACCCAGACAACTTTCGTGATTCGAAAAACTTAACTACACATTTCCCGAAGGTACTATTTCTCTCTTTTTTTTTTAACTGTGATTTTAAAACTGTGGACTTGACCACCGTTTTCGCCTATCCACACAAGAGACGGAAGGTTTTCAAAAGGCTCGACTTCTGAAACCGTTTTCGAAAGCCTCCGTTTTCATCAGCGTTTTCGGTCGTTTTAGTTTGGTTGATAGGCGAAAACATATAAAAAAGAATACGGATTAATTTGGTCGGGGCCTGAGGGGATATACATGGCAGTGATCTCACTCATCGCTTGAGTCTGTAAAACAATTCAAACGATGTGTCTTTGATTTGCTTGTTTGACGATATGTTTATTACGGAAGACTCACAAAAATGCCCGAGAGGCTGGATGGAAAAGACTTGTGGTTCTTTCTGCTCAACTCTGGCAGCCTTTTCCGACAATCTTTCAGTTGATTTCTTAGCACTTACAAGGTGAAACTAGAAGTTCACAATGCATTATAAACTTGTGGTATACAGAAGTTTATAGATAAGTGTTAAGCATTATGAAACATCTGGTAAAAACTGCTTAAAGGTGAATCAACCCAAGGAAATCTGTATTTGTGCAATTAACGTAAACTTGGCTTTCAACAACTTCCGTTTCGGCTTAAAAAGATCTGTCTCTGAGGGTCACCTAAAACTTTTAAGCTTCGTGGATTGATCAATTGAATGAAAAAGAAGGAAATTAAAGAATAAACATAATTTTTGGTCAAGTGCCATGGTATTTATCACTACAAAACGACGTCAATCAAATGTTATAAATAAGAATTGAGAAACAACTGAAGGCACCTATAAACGCTAGACGCTATCCATCAATCAGCTATTAAAATATTTGACAATAATGTCAGAGGCGGCGAAGCGTTTTGAAACATGAGGGGCTCATTATTAAGCCAAGCGTATACCTCTCCCCGTGTATTCCAAAATGTCTTTTGCGATGTTTACTTTTTACGCAAACAAACGTTAACTTCTTTGCGATGTCTACAGTGTTCAATGTGTCTGTAACAGACTTATGACATTGCAGGAGGAGGCAGTTGTTTAGACGATCCTGCTTCATGGTGCATCTAAGGTAGGTTTTTAGTCATCGTAGGAAAACGAGTGCTTTGAAGTCAAATACAATCTTAACAGTTTGTGGATATCTCCTAGTAGTGTTTTGTTGACAGGCGTTATGTTAAGAGCTTCGCAAATAGTTCAAAACATCATGGGGGGCTCAGTGCCCCCAAATTTTAGTTCGTGGTGGGTGAAGGGGGGGCCTACAGCCCCCCTGCCACTCCTGCTCTGCCGCTTATGAATGTCTAGCCGATCGGTAAGGAATTGGCGAGGTCTGCAGTTTTCATCCAGGCGTTTGCTATACTAAGTAGCTTAACGTTGTCTGGCAGCTAGTTCGCGAGTGCAATCATGTTTGTATGAAGGACGTTCGCGCGAAAATGTCCTACTGGATGAATTACTTGTTTCAGAAATGAAAAAAAAAAAAAAAAAAAAAAAAAAAAAA